GGTGATGGGCAGCCCTCCTGGGACTAAGCTTCTCCACCTCTCACTAAGAATCTCCGTTGCCCAGGGTGATCAGAGGTGGTGTCCTCACAGCCTTCAGGCCTAAACAGCCAGAGTAATCCTGGAGCCAGAGAAGGGACTCAATAAACGGTGGCTTTCTCCAGGGCTGCATACCAACAGTGTGTATAGCATTCACCACACACAGCAAAGACAGCCTCAGTGTTGGGAGGACATCAGGCTGCAGGTGGCCTGATCTTTCATGGCTCTCTCTTAATTATAACCTAGAACTTTCTAAGACCGGCTCAGTCACATTCAAGCCTGCTTTCTCTGGCATCTAGGGTCTAGAGAAGATGAGAACAACCATTCGCCCCGGCAGCACTAATTGGTGCTGGCACCCGGCGGTTTTATTTCTCTGTAATGAGGCTACTTACGCTCTTCGGTGGGTTCTTTAATCAGTACACACACGGCCTCCCTTCTGCCTCCTCCCCGGGTTCTGTCTCTGGTGGTTGCCTGAAGATCTGCGAACGCCTCTTCTAGGAGAAGATGCACTTTCGTTCCTAATTGGGGTTTCTGGGAGCTGGAAAGGCCCCCGCTGAGGTTGTTTACCTCGAAGGACTGGGTCTGCAGCATCAACAGAAACGTGTCCTAGGAAACATTCCTCTCGGTGGGAAGCAGCCTTGCCAGGGCCCTTTGAGATCCTTGTCTGGGACGCAGAACTGCCAGCATTTCATTGCTGCTACACGCCCCCACCACCCCCAGGCCTTTGGCGGGGAAGCTCTCTTGCATTACAGGGCACAGGCACAACCAGACCAAGAGGCCGAGGAATTTCAGGTTCACTGGTTGGGAGCAATCTCGTAGAATGGTCACCATCCATTTAGGGCGAGGTACGGGCGAGGAAACTGAGGCACACGGAGGTGAGGAGTCTTGGATGTGGCCAGGTGCCCCGAAGGGGCAGCGCTGAGACGGGCATGCGGACATCGTGCCTCTCAGCGCTCTTTCCTCCACATCACTCTGATCCCCTTGATCTGGGTATTTGGGGGTGGGGTCCTAGGGCATTCCTTACTTTGGGCATAAATTCCCATGTCCTCCTATTGACTTCCCATTAGGAGAAGTCAGAATGTTATTATAAAGCAGAATCCCAGCCACAAATGAAAGTAGCCGGAAGCCAAATAAAGATTCCCAGATTTGCCCGGCTCGGGTGGTTCAGTGGTTGAGCCAGGACCTGTGAACCAGGAGGTCAGGGCACAGGCCTGCGTTGTGGGCTCAATCCCCACTGTGGGGCATGCAGGAGGCAGCCGATCCATGATTCTCTCTCATCATTGATGTTTCTCTCTCTCTCTCTCCTCCCTTCCTCTCTGAAAGCGATAAAAGTATATTTTAAAAAAAAGTTCCCAGATCTGCCCACCACGTAAAGAGATGCGGTGATTTGAGCATTTGGGCCTTTAGCGTGGCTTACCCACCGCCAAACCTTACAAACAGCAGTTCCCAAATCTAGTAGCTTCGGGGAGCACCTCGTGGAAGGGGGTGCATCTGACGTTGGGCGCAGGGGCGGGGAGGGAGGCGAGGTCCAGCGCCACCCAGGCCTGGATTCGGGACCCTGACTTGGGAGAAAGGCGGGGCCGAGACATCACGCGGCCGGGAGCAGTAGAGAGGAAGGCCTCCCGCTGCCTAGAGGCGCCCCCCGCGCGGCCCCTCTGC